AAAGTCGGATTTCTTGATAAAATCATTCCCGGCACTCAATATTAACTGATTATTGCACGATTAATAANGAGAAATTTAGCATTGCACTTTTTACAGGTCTGGGCTTAATAATATGCACTAACAAAGTCGGATTTCTTGATAAAATCATTCCCGGCACTCAATATTAACTGATTATTGCACGATTAATAAGTATTTTCCCGGTTTAATCCCTTTTCTCACCAAAAACCGCGGACAAACGCCAGAAGCTCCATCCTCTGCCAGTGGCCGGCCGCCATGATGAATGTGCACCATGGAACACTGTACACAACCACATCTGTTCACGGTCCTTGCAGTCGGTCAAACAGTGTCGGTAGAGTAGAAATTACATTCGTTTTATTTGCTGTCGATATTAATTATGGATGGCGCCATGTGTCCCACTATACCACAAATGATCGTCGGAATAAGATCCGCAATTCTACCGGGGATCCACTGTTAATTACACGCATATGTATCCCAAGCGCAGTCTCATTTGAATTGAGACATCAATCTGATATCATTGAATGGTTTAATAAAATTGAAAATGCAAATAAACTCGCTGTGAATTTATATAATTTTATGGAAGAGTAATTAATGGATTTTTAAAAGAAAAATTTCAATGTTTGCTTTTGAGTCAACGTCTGAGCCTCACCCTGTTGAACATTGCTGGCGATTGTTTCTAGATCGAGAAATGGCGTGCCGATGCCTCCAAAGATGGTTTTGAACCAGGGAAGACTCCTAGACCCCACTGGACAATGTTGTCACAACTCTGCTTTTCAACGGAAAACAGACATCATTTTTAGAGACATTTGTCCTGTTTAGAGGCCCTAGCACAGAAGTCTACCCTAAAGAGAGTCTTAAAAAAGAGACTAAGAGAGTCTCTAAAGAGTCTCTCCTAGAGACACGCCTGCCCTATGCATGCAGAAGTCTTTAAAGATGACAAATCTCTCTAAAGATGATGTCTGTTTTCAACTGAAAAGCGCAATTGTGACAAAATTGTCCAGTGGGGTCTAGGAGTCTCCCCTGGTTCAAAACCGTCTTTAGAGGCATCAGCACACCATTCTCGAGCCGCTCTTTCATTGAGACTCACCGGGGTGCTCGAACTCTCGGCTGCATGTGGAGATCTCCTCCAATACTCCTTGATATTTCCTCTTCCTGGTCCCTCGGTTCGATAAACACCCCAAAATTCTTAACACTCTTGTGTAAAATTCAGGCGACGCTTAATATAAGGGTCAGAAAAATGGCGTGCTAAGGCCTCTAAAGGTGGCGTGCAGATGTCTCTAAGGATAATTTTTTAACCTGGGGAGACTCCTAGAGCCGACTGGACTATGTTGGCATAACTCTGGTAGGAGTCTCCCCTGGTTGGGAGATCATCCAGGCACCCACTCCTGCACTCGGACCCCATTAGACAAATATGGATACCGTTAAGAAATCGTTCACATAAAATCTAAAAAAACTATTAATTGCATTTTTTATTTGCGTTAATCTATACTGATATTCGTATTCGAGAAAATTGTTTACTAGTCTACTATCTCTATGTCACTTATCAATTGATTCGATGTGTCTAGTTTATTGTCTCGATTTAATTTGAGAAGTAAATGTTGAGAGTCCACGATCTCCTATATTTTCACGGTAGAAATTATCTTGAATCCATACGGAAAAACGTACGTATATCCACGCTCAAAGTTACCATGGAGTGTGTTAATAATATAGACACTGGCCAAATCCATTGGAGTTGATGGTAAATTTTCAAAAAAAAAAATAGATTCAAGAATATGGAAGTAACATGGTACCAGGATCAGCCAAGTACCATATATCCACATGGCAATTTGACTATTTATCTATCTTTGTCCAATATTAGTGGAGTATACAGGTAAACGCGCAGGTGCACGCAAACATCCATGTTAGTGATCAATGGCCTCGATGCCAGTGGATATGTTTACACGTGGGCTGGCATGGCAACGCGTTCAATAAATAGTTCAAGCTGCCGGCCACAGTACTTCCGGTTCCGTTATCGTGCAAGAATATCGAACCCCTAATAATGTAACCCTATGTGCCTCGGGTTCAGCGGCTATGCTCCCTCTGCGTGCACGTGGTATATTCCAACTAGTTCGTGAGGGTGTGAGTCTACGTTAACGCTCGACATTAACGCTCGTTTTGCACACGACGTTGATTTGCTGCAGTGATAAGCTGCTTCGATCGTTCGTAGAATTTCACATCAGCTATAGTTTCATGAGGCAGCAATCAATATGCAGGAAACAAACTCGATGTTCATGATAACCCACTAAAAATTTTATGTTATATGGTTAATGTGAGGATGAAACTGATCACGAGAAAAATATCTAAATTCGATCAATTTCTAGAAATATGTCTTTTTATGCATATATGTATAGCCTTATAAATGAACGTGTTTGAACTACTTTTACTTTTTATATCTATGCTGCTGCCAGTATCTATTTCAAACGATAATAAATTATATTCATAGAATACACATATACAATAAGTGTATAACTGACTAATTTTGTGGAAAAGAAATTAATAATCTTGCAAAAATTGAATACTCGCGCATTACTTCCACAAATCTAAGATAAGGAAATGAACTTTGAGATTGGGAAAAACGTCCTATTATCCTGTCAAATTTCCATGCTCTTCATTCATTTTCTGAGCTTGAAATATGACTAATCGCCATTTTAATAGCCATTTTTTTGCTCAACACTTATTTATTGTGCATTAGTCATATTTAAACAGGATTATATTTATTACAGCCTAATAGTAATGACAATTGATGCAAATTTTCAGTTTTCCACGAAAGATTAGTTTTATTTCCTCATCACATTAACAAATTCTACAAAACAGTTGAATTGTACAAACTTTAATATAACGTGCGCATAGTTAATTCCAAACAACTTTCAACTTTTGAAGAATGAGTAATGAAAAAGCATGAAAAGCAAATTAGAAACCGTTGAAGATATTCCTCCGCAGTTGTCATGTGGCGCGGCGAGTGATGGCATTGTAAGATCCACGATTGTACTTTACACATCTGTGAATTCTTCCAGTGCCAAGACCCACCAACACCAGCTGGTGGTAAATTACTCCGATTTTCAAAGTCGTATTTTACTATTCAACTCCAGACTGTACTGGAATATCGATGTTGATTCCATGCCCTCTAATTTTTGCATTTTCCGTCTGTCTACTCATTTCCTTTATGAAGGAATCGAGTCATACAATATGGAAAACAAATTATTTTATAATTTTTTTTTGTGCATTTTTTTTTTATATTCATTGAATATTACCCGAATGACACAAATATTGACCGTTGAAACACTAAAATTATTGCTTACACGTGAGTCATTTGTTGTTTACTCGATAAAATGCAATCTTCAATTTTTTCGTTGTAACAGATTTGGAAAGTTGAAATATATCTTGAGAAGGTATACTAGTGCTCTGAGGGATTGCCAACAACTACCCGTGTCTGAACGAAACTGACAGACATGCAATCCTAAAAGCTGCTCGGGTGAGCAGCCAGTGGAACGAAATAGTGGAGGGGTTCTAAAATAAAATATAATGCGGCTGCGCATGGAGGGTGAGTATTCACCCCTTTTGTATGTGTATTCTCAATATATACACATTGTTACGACAATCTCCATTTTCACCACCCTTCAATGTGAAGTCTCTAGCTTATTAGGCCGATGGCAAGAAAGGCCTCTGAATGAAGCTAATCGATATTATACACTAACCACATTGTATTTCTGACTCCAGAAGAAGTTTTTCTGCTATGATGCTGGTATTCTATCTAGTACTCATACTGTCATACGTTTTATTTACATTTACAACTTTTATCCATTTTTATTCTTCAAAATTCGCCACAAAATTATTTCGACACAAAAACAATTGAGAAAAGAAAAATAATGTCATCGAAGATACTCTGCTAACCAATGTATATGGAAACCAAAAGGAACCAACCTATCATAAAAGTGTATTACATTAGCATCATAAAACTCAATTTTCTCCTTTAATTATTTGAGGGAAAAAAAAGGAAGAAGAAAATGATAAAGGATAAATTGTAGAATTCCTCTCATCGTTGTTTCTACATTTTAGTCAAACTTCATCAACAAATATATCATTTCCGCCATATTATAATAATTTCATTAAAATCCAATATTCCATTTTTCCTGCATGTGAAAAATTGAAAATTCTCCTCATTTATCCATGATTATAACACTCGTGCTATATTCATCAAAAAATCACACATATGAGATATTTAAAGAATGTCATTGGTTAAAATAACCTGGACGATACATCTTGTGGCATAGAGAAATAATGCTAAATAGAATACCACCAACATTTTACCTTCTGAATGATGTAGTTCAAAGTGCTCTTAGAGAATACTGAGACTATAATTGACTGATACAGTCATGGAAGAGACTATCATAAAATACAAGGAAAGCAATATTGTCATTTTAGCATTATCCTTCTTTTCTATTCCTTTGCAACTTTTTTTTCATCATTATACCCAAGAAATTTTTTAATTCTACTTGCTTTTAACAGGAAGAATCAATAGGTTAAGAATTGAATGAATAAAATTAATTACAATTGCCAATTTGTTTTATATAATTCAACAAATATCAAATACTAGAAATAAATTATAAAACTTTAATCATAGTTATAATAACAATATCGGATCATTACTTTTCCCTGAAAAAAAAAAAAAAAAAAAAAAAAAAAAAAAAAAAAAAAAAAAAAAAAAAAAAAAAAAAAAAAAAAAAAAAAAAAAAAAAAAAAAAAAAAAAAAAAAAAAAAAAAAAAAAAAAAAAAAAAAAAAAAAAAAAAAAAAAAAAAAAAAAAAAAAAAAAAAAAAAAAAAAAAAAAAAAAAAAAAAAAAAAAAAAAAAAAAAAAAAAAAAAAAAAAAAAAAAAAAAAAAAAAAAAAAAAAAAAAAAAAAAAAAAAAAAAAAAAAAAAAAAAAAAAAAGTAAAAATCCTATACTCGTGATAATATACATGAATGTCATATTTTATCCTATTTCTCTTTATTGGATAATTCTCGGAAGAATGCCTCAATAGGGAGTGAAGGTTCATCTATTGTGGGGGTTAGTGTTTTTTTATGGACATCACTCTCGAATGCCGGTATCACTGATAAGGCTTTGAACATTCCTGGTTTATTATAAAGAGCAGAAGCTGAACTTGTCAAATCTGCAACACTCAAAGATGCTCTCGCAAAAGCCTCCTCATCACTCTGAATGCTTGGGTGTTGAGAGAAATTTTCCATAATTTCGGTGATTGGTTGTTCTTTTTCTGGATCTGGTGGATTCACGTTCATGTCCTTCATTGAATCATTAAATTTTCTTCTTTCTTTATCACTTTTTGTACTTGTACTCATTGCAACAGGTTTCTCAGTGAATAATTCCGACTTTTTTGGAATCGGCTCTGTTATTAATGTCAGTGAATCATTGAACGTATTCTCAGTGTTTTCAACATTGTTTTTGTTTTTCTTAATCATCTGAGCAAATTGTGCTGATGACTTAATTTGGGGTCTACGACGTATTGGCTGAACAAACCTGTTTTCACTTTCAAGAGCATTCACCTGTACTTTATTCTCCTGGACATTACTCATTTCGGTTGTATTATTATTATTTTTTCGTTGGATGGCCGTGGTATATGGTCGATATCCAGAAATTTTATTGCGTTTTCCTTCAATTAAGTCAGTTACGTTGGTACTTTTGGGCAAATAACTCTGAGTGGAAGATTTTGTTTTTGTATTAGAATACCTCGGCGTATATTTGTACCTCCCAACGCTTTTTAATTGCATAGAATGAGTCGTTATAAGACTATTTTGCGTTGTTGAAGTCTGACTCAATCGATTCCTGTAATCCAACCTAGTCTTGTAGTCCTTCACACTGAATCTTGGACGAGTATTATTTGTTATTTTCATCGGCCTAAGTCTGTAGATTGGCCTTGTAGTTATCTCCACGAATTTCGAAGAATTTGAAATGTTACTGTTATTGTTTTGCTCTACAACAGATGGAACCCATTCGGACAATTGTGTGCTTGTTTCATCACCTCTATTTGTTTCTGTCAAGTTGAATAAATATTCCAAGGGAGCAATTGAGGAAATATCGTCACGCGTTGTGCTGCGAATCCTTTCCATCATCATTTTCGTTGTCATTTCTTCAGGGGAATTGATATGAGTTAACGATGAACCTGATTCTTTATAATTATCCTCATTAATCGGTGATTTAGAACTAGATGTGCCTTCCTCACTTGCTTCGTTCATCTTAGGTGTAACATGAGTTGTCAATTCTTCAGAAATCACTGTATTCGCTGTTTCTTCTTGCTGGATAATGAAATGCTCACTCTCATTCTTATGGCCATTATTAATACCTATTATTGATTTCTCTGTCGAATGATAAGATGGGGTAGCAATAAAACCATTATAATTGTAATCCTCAGAAGTATCCTCTGTACTGATCAAAGTAGGTTGAATTGATGTTGACAATGATGTGGGCTCGGGCTCTAGTAGTGGTCTTCTACGACGTGTTGGTCCTCTATTTTGTGACCTTGTTTTTATGATTGTAGATTTTCTTGTCGTCATATCTGTAACGAGTGGCACAATGCTACTAATGTTAGCGGGAGAAATAATTGATCCTTGGGAATGAGTTTTTGATGTTTGGGGAGTTCTTGTTATTATCCCGGACATTGTTGTAAAGGTAGGTTGCATTTCAAGAAACAATTCTGGCGACGTTGTATTTTCTAATTCGATGGAAGTATTCATGATTTTTTCAGGTTGGACGTCCGTATAATTTTTATCATTGTAAATCGTGCCGCGATCATAATTGTTCATTTCACTATTAACTATAATCCTATGATGATGACCTTTCTTCTTTTTCCCTGTCGAAATATCAGTTTCAGTCGAATTATTAATAACTTGCTTTGGGGAATAATCAAAAATCAAACTTTGCCCGATAAGTGATTCATCTACTTGTTTCATACTATAATTAACATTATTGCGCTTAGCGGATAGTTGTCCGCTTGGTGAAACCCTTTCTGCATTTGTTAATTTTACAGCTTCATAAACTTGAAATTCTTTAGCAAAGTTGGATTCTACAGGAGTTGATTGTCTCTCTTTATGCCTCTCTATTGGTTTGCCGCTGACTGGGTTCTGATGAGTTTGAAACTTTTCCAACTTTTGTCTATCGCGCTCTAGTAATTGTTGTTGTAAAAGAAATTGTTGTTCATTGAAATGCTTCAATGAAATACTCTCCGGTGTTTCCTGACGTAATTTGGGAATGTTCGGAGCAATTTTCTCACGTACAATTTGAGCCTTTAATTTATTATCGGCGACGAACACTACTGCTTTATGTGGAGTAGCATTGTTTGGCCTATTAAATTGCACTGGTTTATTTAATTTGGGTAGTAAATCCAACAATTGATTTTTTGATGTTGAAATCAACCAGCTCGGTGTTGTATTTTTTTTACGAACATTGTAATAATTATCAAGTGCTGAATCTTCGGACTCCTCCCAGTGTTGCTTTCCCGCTGAATTTTCATCGAAACTGTAGGGGGGCTCGACATAACGGGTATTTGGAGTAATGAAAGACGAAAATTCATTACGCTGTGATGAGGACGGTTGAACTGCATAGAGATTTCCCGGATGATGTGTTACATAGTCGGTGGGTTGTTCAACCACAGTTTTCGATGGATTATTGACTTCATAAGGAGATTTAAATTCTGGGGGATGGCCAATTTGTGTGTAAAAATTATTTCCACCCTCAATGTGTACTGGATATTGTCTGAATATGTTCAGGTGATGTGTGTCGATATTGTCACGTAGGTTCTGCATCCAAGAAGATTGCGTTGGATGGGAGTGGGATTTGTAAGATTCACCAGCGGTCGGATACTGACGCAATGGGTTATGACTTAATTGATCCCTGGATGAAATAATACCGGGCAGCTTTTTAACAGCTGCTGCTGATGATGATGATGCCGCCCCCGTCGATATAAACGTAAACTGAGTATTTACAGGTGTATAAATAGTGTCTCGATAGTGTGATGGTCCGCCGTACGCATCGCCGCTTATTTTCATCTTCTGGTAGGATTCTATTCTTTGTCGAGGGGGAGGAACCAGGAAATCATATTCGTTTGTGTTTGTAGATTCACGATAGCCTTTGTTGTCGTCTCCTTTTCGGTTTTTTGGTATTGAATGCCCGAATATACTAAAGCTGCCCAAGATACTTGGTGGGGTGTAGTCATATTGATGGATTGTATCTACAGATTTCCGATACTGTTTCGAGATTTTGTAGCTTGGCACTCGCTCAGAATCAAACTGAGAAATTGTATAGGCGGCGTAATTACTTGGTGGTGAGACATTTCCTACATTATCACTGCTCACTAACGGCTGCCAACCATTTTTTGCCGGGAGTTCCTATGGAAAATGATGCCATTATCCGTACTGCTTGTGTAATAACATGATATTATTATTATTATTATTATTATTATTATTATTATTGTTATTGACCAAATAATTATGTCTAATTTGAATTTATTACCTATGTCATTTTCATGCAAGTAGAAATTTATCGATTATATTATATATCATACCATTCCAAGAAGAATAAATTTTATATAGAAATTTCGGAATCATGCAATAGATAATATAGAGAAGGTACTCACCCCATTTTTTATTTCACCGCTTTTTACAGTACATATCAACGCACTGAATAAGATCCATAACGTGAGTAAACCTAGAAGATATAGTTCACATTTAGTCGAAACAAATTCAAGTTAGGACAATTCAACGCTCGTGGAATTATCATTTTCATTTATTTTCAGTGTAATAGCAGAAATTCAATAAAAATCGTTGATCAGTATTGAAAACGATAGATGTACTCTCTCTTTTTTTAAATGGATTATAAAGTTGACTCGAGGATAGAACTAGAAATAACGACTATCGAGTGACATGCCATATAGATCGATCACTAGTGCTATATAGTGTGTTTTTTCTATCTTGTGGTATATGTTGTAGACACACCGAATAATCAGGTTCACAGAGTTTATACTTTTTAATTCGATAGTGCAGGCTGCTTTTATATTATTTCCGACTGAGGTTTATACTGAATAAATCGACCTGATTCCCCAATATTTTAATATGCTAACAACAACTCAATTCTATATTATTATGTACTGAAAATGCTCATTAAAAAAATTGTAAATCCAATGGAATTAAAAAGAAAACCTTTTTTACTTACACGAAGAAAACGGGTGTCTCGACATCTTTTCAGTGATTTAGAGCATTGGAATGAAATTCTGGAAAGGAAAAATTTATATATTTAATAGTTAAATTTGGCTGATTATAGAACCTTTTATTTTTCCCAAGCTAATTAAAAAATTCCATAAGTATATAGAAAAATAATGAATTGTCGTCAATAGAATAATTATTGAGATTTTTGTCGAGTGAAATTTGCAATGAAAGTTGTTTCTCTTTTGTTATTCTCTCGGTCGCATTTGCTCGGCTTTATAATTAGCTATTCATTCAAAAAGTGAATATATTTTTTCAAGTTATATATTTTTTTTTTCTCCAAACCAATTGAGAAACTTCATCATCTACCTCATACAAGCAGACAGCATATTATTTATTTGACTTGGAATGAAAATTACTGAAAGGAAATTTGCTAAAATTTTTCGCGGAATTTTTTTCGGCTGTGTGTGAAGTTAAAAACAAAATAACTAGGGAAGCAGTTAAAAAGTAGTGATACTGTGCACTTACTGTGATGTCCAAGTGGCAAAATTTAATAAATGTATATCTGCGAAGAGTATTATGTCCCTATAAATTTCGAACTTGTGATCAGAATTGAATTAGTCCTTTTTTAACCACAACATTAAGTTATATCTATTCGAATAAAAATTCTGAAATCTACCCTGTTGAAATATTCCTCCGAGTCGGTCATGTATTTTTTTGTAGGAACCGTCGACGGTTCCATTATTTCCACTATTATTACAAGTAATCAATCAATCAAATATTGTATCGAGTGCAGTTTTAAAATGATTCACATATTCTTTACTTGATTATATGAAGCGTTCCGAATAATATACTCAAATTTCATATTAATGTTCTCGGACTGAACGGGAAAGTTTGACCTCATTTTTACAAACCAACTAGTGCACATCACTACTATCATCCTAAGTTGAAACATATATTTTTTTTCATCAATATTTCGTAATTTCCATTTTTTTGTAATTGAGACAATTTTTGAAAATAAAATGCCGGATATGCAGTATTGTCTCAGGTTTTCTCCAACGAGTATTTTAAAGAGGACATTAGTAAAGTTTGAATCCATGAGGCAAGACACATCTTCTTTGAGAAATTTCTGCGATTCAAATGATTAATTATATTTATTCGTTAATATTGAAAGTAATAATAAACGGAAGTTTATATGCAAAAATTTTTTTTAACAATTACTCTCTATTTCTTCAATTTTTTCAATTCACCATTTCACAATTGTTCAAAGATTCTTACGACACCGTTCCCACCGATAATAACTTGAAAAATAATGCTTTCCGTCGAGAGACGGATTTAATCTTGAATAGAAATTTGTCGGTTTTCAAACTCTATCAAGAGACACGTTGAGCATAAAAAAAAATTTTGCGCAATATACAATGTAATTATATTATGTTAAATTTAGGATAAAAATGAGATAACCAGTCTTACTTTATACCAAAATAAGCACCTGGTATACAGCTATTACTGAAAACTTGTGATTTTTCAACTTGACTGGACAATATTATTTTTCAATTTTATACGCAAAATTGGTCACTCATTTTTGAGCTCGCTCAGTCAAACTGATCGCCACGCACGTACTGGCTGAGGTGTTCAGTAGTTTTGCCACTCACTACATGCTTAACCGAGTTCCCTCTCTCGCAACAATTCAAAAGAAAGTAGGCTTCATCTGACCCCTCCTTTTCCTTCAATCCATATCTCTATCACTTTATGTGCATATAACACGTGATTCTTTGAATTTTCTATGCGATAGAAAGTGGAAATGTTAAATATACACCTGTTTTAGCCTCGAACGTACCTATATATATATATATATATATATATATGTTTTCATTTACGCATGTAGAATAAATATTGGTCCAATTTTTCTGTAATAATAATAATAATGTTGTAAATAATTATTACCTATGAGAGAGGAAAAGAATAAAGTTTATATAGAAAAAAGTAAATTGATATATGAAGAATGTTGATACGTTGCAAATCATTGATTCTAACAATATTATCTATTATATTGAATCAATAATACGGGAAAATTAATTGGATTTCCAGGCCATGAAGACACACGACAAGAATTTTAGATCACAAGTACGTTTAGCTGGCGATGAGGGCACCAATCAGAAACATAGAAATTGAAAAGAAATTTTATGATTGGTCTACTTTTACGCGCTTATTGGAACAAAATCCATGTTCTCTACGACTCATCCATACATTTGTATACTCATATAACTTTATGATTGCAAGACAATAAAATTCATGTTTCAATGACTTTGCTGAGGTGTGAATCACCGGTGATTATTTATACTGTAATCATGTTTGGAACATTTGTTCTCATGATTATGCTGATTTATTCTCATGATCTGGACGAATTGGATTAGAGATTTCTTGGAAAATCATTGGAAAAAAAATGTTAATTTTCATGCGATTACACTTTTTCTGAATTCTGATCAATTTCTCGTGTTGATTGCCACGCAAATGATGGATTGCATGTTGTTTTTTTTCCTTCTCTTTTTCTTCTGAAAACTTGATGAACCTTCCACTTTAGAAAATGTTTCTAAAATAAGTAAAAAACATTGAAATAATTTTACATTTGTTTAGCCATTAATATAACAATTAATCAACATTCACAACAAATACCCCTTCACTTTCAAACATGCCCAGAGTTTGCATTATCAAAATTGACAGATAATTTGTTATTTGTAAGCCCCCTTATGGGACACAGGAGTGATATAGGGGAGGTTAATAAATCGCGCGAGTCTCATCACAATAAACGATGAGAACGATCAGCTGATCGTAAGGGAAAGACGCCATGAGAGAGGATATATAAGGCATGTATATATATATATATATATTATTGGAAAAACATATGTGTGTTGAGAGGTGAAAGAAACATGATGAGAAAGTTATGCAATTTACTCCAAATAAAACTGATAATAGTGCATGAGATACACATGAGTAAAAGCTGTAAGTGAAAAAAAATGATTCGCAGGAATAGGTAAGCCGCAATATGTAGTGTACAATTTCATCTCCATTGATAAAACTACTTTATTGATTGAACTTGTAAAAAAAAAAATTAATTTGTTATTTATATGACATTAATTTGAGAGAAAAATTCATTAGTAAATTCTACATTATCCCTTATTCAAATGAAGGATAATTCTCTCTTACTTTTAATTGAACGTAACCTTTCACATTTATATATACTAACTATCCATCAAAATCTCCAATGTGCTTTGCTAATATGCTATATTTTTGTATATTATCTTGTGTAGAATAGAGAAATGAATTGGTAAGGAAGTAATTATATCGGTATTTTATTCTTTATTCCTCGTCTTGAAAAGAAAAGGAGAGAAATATGAATGATACATACATTGCAGGACAAAATATAAGCTGTTCGTGATCGCCCTCATCCTGGGCACAACAATATTATATTGTGAATTTCTTGCCTATGAGATTCAGCGTTTTAAATGGGCTGGGAGGGAATGTAACGAATGCGTCAAGATATTGCTTGTTGCAGATCCACAAATACTGGGCGAAAAAAATGAAAATTATTTTGGCGCGTGGTTTGCCAGATGGGACAGTGATAGGTAAAATACCAGCATTTTTGTTTTTTTTTTTTCTTCTTTTTTTCCGCTCAATATTTAATAATATTATAATTATATATAATTGACTCTGTCTTTGTATAATTATTTATTAATTGTGTTGATTAATGGCATACAGATATTTAGCGAAAACATTTGGCAGAGCTATGAGCCACGCCCAGCCTGACGTGATAGCATTTCTTGGAGATCTTATGGACGAGGGTCACATCTCCACAATGCAAGATTTTAGTAGATATAAAACTAGATTTGATCGTATATTTCAAACTCCTGAGCATATTTTGGTAATTTTATTGCTAATAATTTCTGTAGCAAAGGGATATATGAACAATCAACTTACTACACTTTATTACGACATGACTACTTGCTTTATTTTCTTTTCCTCTTTATATATAATCTTCAAAGTCAATATTGCTTATCTTTGTTTTATTTAGACAATTTATTTGCCTGGGGATAATGACATTGGAGGAGAGGAAGATTCTGTATCAGCAGCCATTCATAACAGATTTAAATTCGCCTTTTCTCAGCCAGACTCTTTAACTCACAAAAGTTTGATTTTTTTCAAGGTATTCAATAAAATTAGCAATTTAAATAATTCAACAACACATATTAAATTATTTCTTGTTCCAGGTGAATCGATTGACTCATTATATGCCAAAAGCGCCTCAAGATGCCTTCCTTAATGAATATACAGAAAGAAATACAACGAATATTATACTCAGTCATATGCCATTGTTATTCACATCTGGTTCATTTGTAAAAAATGTAAGTTGATTGATTAATCCGTTGAGACGTAAAATGTCCAATATATAATGAGTTAATGGTTTTTGTTAATTCTCGTATTTTTTTATATATACATACAGGTAATTAAGGAACTCTCACCTCAGGTGATTTTCACAGCTCATGAGCACAAAGCAATGCATTTGAGCCTAGATACGACGATAGATGAATTGAGTGATATTTGGATCTTACCGCCCCATGAAACCCCTCTCTATCAGCTGCGTTTAGACATGGGTGACATACATGAACTGCAAATACCAACTTGTTCATACAGAATGGGTACATCCAACATGGGCTATGGATTAGCCTATATTGGTATATAAATTGTCATTTATTTGAAAACTTTTTTTCTTTTCTTCATATTATCATATGGTTATTTCTACTCATATCACTATGTTTACTTACAGATACACGTGACAAATCAGTGGATTTTACAATATTATGGCTACCTGAAAGATTTCCTAAACTAAAGGGATACCTCTGGATATTCTCCATCGTCATGATTTTCATTATGTCTAGTTTTATTTGCAACTGCTGTGTCTGGTCAACTCACGTAGCCTATTCACACTTACCTGCTGTGTAGTCGAATTAAATAATTTTATATATTATTTGAATCATCCTTCTTTTTTTTAAATATTATTATATTATTATATGAAAAAGAATAACCAAAACTGATGGGCGAATCTGTTTTTAATGAATAATCATCCATTCCATTCTTTAGCAAGTAAAAAATTTTCACATTTTATTGGTAACTGTAATGAATTATATTACTAGAAATCGTATAGAACAAAAACATTCAATTGACAGTGAAATATAAATGAGATAAAAATAGGTATAAAGACAATATTATATAATTATTATTCCATGTCCAATTGTCGACGATGTTGACAACGATTTACATCATAAACACGGCTCACAAGTCACAACAGTCAAGACTGAGTAATTAAATCTAGTTTTGTCTCTTTTAAAGGATTAATTCTAATCTAGGCAAATAAATCAAACCTAGAGCAATAGTCAGGGGAAAATAGTTGAGAGATAATAGTTGATCAAATGTGTGTGATATGTAAGAGAATGAAAATGTTTAATATCTAGAAGGAGATTAAACAGTGATTATTATGTCTTTTCGATAAAGTAAATAGGCTATTAATCCCCACAGGGTTGTTGTCCAGATGTTCATAGCGAGTGTTGCAGCATGAGTCGGATCGTTTAACTCCCAGGCCCATGGGAAATTTTTCATTGTAAAGTAATGACCGACGTACAAAAATAGTGCATTAGCACCAGCATAAATGAACGGTCCTCCATCCCACATCCTTCTGTGATCAATAATGTAGTATAGGATGGCGAAGAGTAGGAAGGCAAAGCAGCAAGTTGTGAGGACAAATGATAATGACATGAGGTTTTTGCTGACGGGAATAATTCCTTCTTTGCTCCAGTTACAAAGAAGACCAGCTACTATTCCCTAGAAAAAAATATTATCATAATGATTGAATATTATAATGTCCCACTAGAATAAAGTCACTAGATAGAATATACTCACAATGAAAATTGCCCAACAAATCCACCTGACAATCTTGGAAGCATTGTGAAGGTAATAGCAGAATAATATTCTCCCGGCTTGGACACCAAATTGGACGATTAGCACTGCAGATAATGTATTTAAAATGCCTATAAACAGTGGAAAGAAAATGTGTTCAATTGCAAACATACAAATTGACATTTAATACTTGTAAACTTATAAACGAGAATACCTTCAGGATCATGTGGAGCAACAGTTCCATAAACTGGATTATGTATTTTCATGTACATATGGCGACCAAAGACCATTCTATCGATATAACTGGCGGCTCCACCAGTGCAATTAGCATATTGCTGACGATACTCGTTACCTCCTGGACCGAGATATCCCCTAGGACAGCCAGGAACAGGTAGGAGGAATATTATTAGCAAGTGTATTGCAGCCAGCACGAAGACAATCAACCACTGTACCCAAGCATCAAGGATGTCTTGCAAAAATGCAAATCTTCCATACTAACGAGACAGAGAGAGAAAGAGAGAGAGAGAGAAATAGTAAAAAACAACCTTAACATATTTCATCACATCATCTACTGTAATATGGAGGAAAAAAAATCAACTTTTTCTGTCTCACGTACCTGATAATTTCGTTGAGATTTCATTCCAATAGTTTCAATGCTAGCACAAATGAAATAAGTAATTCCAAGCAATTGTAACACTCCAGTAAACCGTAAATCCGATAATCTCGTCCCCCTTTGTCCATTAATTATTAATCCCAATAAAACAAGAATGAGCCCACGTCGAAGGAATTTGAGAATAATTCGAGGTCGCGAAATGGAGAGTCGCATCTCTGACTTTAATGAAAGTACAATAGTCAATCCCATGATCCAGGCGAACCAGGGCAACACAAGATCAGCTACAGTCAGGCCAAACCAAGGTGCATGTTTGAAGAAAACATACTCTCCTCCTCCATTATTAACAAAAATCATAAGCAATACAGCAATACCACGAAAAGCATCGATTGTTCTAATTCTAGTACTGGCTCTCGTAACTCTGATCACCGGCGGTTCATTATCCAGTTGCCTCGAATTATCCAAAGGTCCTGTATCATCATGATCAATCTCAGTACTTCTCGATAGAAATCCCCTAACAATATTGACGAGAAATTTCGTTGTTATATTGATCAATGCGCCAATTGTCAGAACCATAAAAGCAGCCAGAATCGGAAGGTATGGGTTGATTGCCTCCTGAATTGTATAGATAGATGAACATATCGACTCACGCGATAAATTCCAACCATAATGTCCATGTTCTACGAATCTGTACGTCGTGTGACACCACTGGAGATTGTTTTCAACATAGTACATGTGCAGGGGCCATTTTGTGGAAATTGACAATGTTGTATTACTTTTAGCTGACACATTTGTCCACAATTGATCAGAACAGGCATTGCATTCATTGAAGAAGGAGTAAAGTGATACTGAAGTATTGTAGTCGTTTATGATACTGATACAGGCTTCGTCTATTCCGAGGGTTTTGTTTGGATTTTTACAATCGTCATCTTCCATTGTTTTAAAAATATTATTGAAAAAATAATTCTCTTTTGCGCCGGCGATAATTCCAATCTATGTCGTGTGTATTGTGGATCCGTGACTTTTTTTTTGTTTGTTTTTCCTTTTTCCCTATCCACTACTCATTTTCTTGTCTCACATGACCATCAATTGAATACAAATTTTTTAATTAATAAAGATTGAATAAAGACTCACCATCAGTGGTGAAAATAAAGAATACATATGAAAATAAATGATTATAATAAATGATCCAATCACTAGCTGTAATAATATAAGGAAACTTGTATATTCGTTTGATGCCTTCCTTGATGTGATGGTGTTTTGTTGTTGTTATTATTATTATTATTATTATTGTCTGACCAATCAGACAACTGCTCGTTAAGACAAGCCACCTTTGCGCATGATCAATATATATATTGCTCCATCTGTCTTGTAAATATCGCGCATAAGAAATTCAAATAGTGCACTTTATTGTAAAAAAAATTATAATCATTATTACAATTCGTATCTTACAATATAAAAATAAATGTAGATGGAGGATATTTCTCCATCTATGAGAATAAATTCATAATGATAATTATTTTTTCATGCGTTTACTGCGCCCGAGATAAACCGAGTTAGTAATTTTAATTTGTACCACTTAGTATACAGGGGGACAAGAATCTCTTATTCTCCATTAGGTCGCCAAGATAAAATTTAATCCTGAGGATAAACAACTCCAATTTGTCTACGAAGTTCGTCTTCAATTTCAGCAATACGCAAAGATTCGGCATGAGAAATCTTTGTGCTTTCCTTGAGACCTACGAAAGAAGAAAAAAAATTGAGCATAAAAAATTGTATGATCGACAAGCGAAATAAAACAACCTGCTGTTGCAAACCTGCTTTGATACATTCTCGTGCCTCCATTGCTTCAAATCTAAGACCAGCACTGTTGACGAAATTAAACTCATGTGGTGCTTCTGGAAGTGGATGTTCAATTGTACCCGAGGGCAATTCAATCTTAACTGGACACCAAAATTGGGGGATCTTGATAGTGCCTTTCGTGCCAATAACATGAGCTTCATTGGGCAAACCAACGAGTGCATGGGTCACGATTGTTGCTGTTCGATTATTGCTGTACAGTAGTGTTGCAGACATGGATTGATCAACTCCATCATTATTCAGAAAACCTGACGCCTTTATCGACACAGGATGCTCCCCATCGTAAATAAACTGTGAAAACTGGACTGTATAAACACCCAAATCCAAAATAGTCCCACCTCCCTGGGCCTTGTTACTGCAAATCAAGTCAAACATGGCTGACCATATATTTACTATAAAATTAGATGATAACTTAAAAAATGTCAATTATTACCTCAAACGTTCCACATCAGGCATTCTGAATCCAAATGAAACAATTACTTGTTTGACATCTCCTATAGTTCCTGTCTCTATCTCCTTCTTCACTCTCTGATAAAGTGGGAAACAACGGCTCCAAATTGCCTCCATCAGGAACAATTCTTTCTGCTTAGCGAAATTAATCAAATCGGTTGATTGTTTCACATTCAATGTCAGGGGTTTCTCACACAAAACGTGTTTGCCATTTTCCAACATCAACTTGGTTACTTCCAAGTGCTGAGGATTTTGCACTCCGATGTAGACAATTTCTAAATAATTAATTCATTTCACAAATTTATATTCAAATTAGATGAAAAATTTATAAGCTAGTTTATTCATGATGAAAACTCACCGACATTAGAATCTTTGGCGAGTTGTTCATAATTACCATAATACTTGGGTATATTATGAAGTTGAGCGAATTTTTCAGCTCTAGTAACATCTCTAGCAGCAATAGCGACAACTTGATGTTCACTATTGGGTAGCGTTGCCAAAGCAGTAGTAAAGTCATGAGCTATTTTCCCAGCACTTGCAATACCCCAACGTGTAGCCATATCTGTATATCTGTGTGTATGATGTATGTATGAAGATGGAAAATAATTTTGCTCACCGTTTTGTCAAACTTAACCTTATTCCAATATATTCTTGAGTGGTTCAATGTTGTTTGAAATGCGATTGCTGGAATGCGATTCTCCTAACTTGTATATATTTATTATCTTGATTATTGTGGCATAAAAAAGAATTATCTCTCGTCGAAAATATTCTTATCGCAACAGTAGATGATAAAAAGGTGTTAACATAAAATGAAATTATCAAAATTAGAGAGATGAATAATTATCGAGAATCATTGATAAGCTCTCAAACTATTGACTGGCTGGCTGGCTGGCTGGCTGGCTTGATTGTAAGAAAAAATAAATATCTTCAATGCTTATATTGGTGTGGATACACAGGAAGAATTGATTGTTGCCACAAACCGAGATTGGTAGCCATTGTGTTATTGAAAAACACAGGCGTTAGGCCATAGGCGTCGACAATGATAACCATATTCTCTTTACGTACTCATACAAACTCTTGTAAACATGTTTCACAATCACTCCTATTATGGAAAATTCATTTAACATTATGGCAAAAATTATAATTATTTTTCAACATTAAATATTATCATAATTATAAGAAGGAAAGAATCTTTTCCTTGTTTTTTTTACTTTTAAAATTAAGAAAATCATTGGTGGGCTTACGCCAGTTGTCCCTGATTGGTTCTTGGTGGACATTTAAAAAAATTCCATTCTCCTTCATTCGAACCACATCCATCAGTGTATCTATACACATATAGCAATTCTATCCCAGTCGCGGTCGGCAGCGGCTGTCGGAGAATCTCTACTCTTTCCCGTTCATTTTCTCCAACGTAAATAAACAACTCTTCATCAACAAAACCCTAAAAATTGACTCTTCATCATTCACTCAGCTAAACAAGGAAATTTTTATAGTGCTTAGAGCTCCGTGTTTTTCTCTTCCCTACACATGGCAACTCTCTCAGCTGTTTAGCCATTTAAACCCCCCTAGACTCATTGCGCAATCGCCGAAAGTTTGCATGCACTCGAGTGAAATCCTTTCTATCGCGCGGTCAGGGAACTCTGTTCTCAATCAGAAAAAGAGTGCACGCGCACTCGGAAGTATCTCCCAAGATTGATGAAATATTTATGAATTCACAACGGGACAATTCTCGATTATTATACTGTGATAAATCAGTGAAAATGCCAACCAAGTTTAGTAAATTTGTTATCGACGCAACTTGCAAAGAATATGTTCATCCGTGGACAGATTCTTGCATCAGTGCAACTGCTGGTCTCGGTCTACACGCCATCCAAGAGTGCCTAAGGATATATACAACTGTTTATCTCGTATGTAATTATCACTTATAAATCACTTGTAGTTGTTTTTGTTTTTTTTTTTTTTTTCTGTTATCAAATACTTTTTTAACATCAAGGCCGAAGGAGAGGAGACATTGTACTGATGTGAGGTACAATAAATCATTTAAAAGCCTATCAATCATCTGATAGTTAATGTTTTTTATTGATATGATGATTTAAGGTGACAATGGTGATGAGAGGCAAAAGGCCAACTAAAAATGAGATTAAAAAAATGTTGATGGGAATACTTCAGTCCACAGCCTTTCTGTCGTGGAGCACTTTTACCTTCTCTATGTTTTTATGCAGTTTCAGGTAATTATGGTCGATGATCAAGTTTTCCGAATACTGAGACAACATTATAATGTTGTAGTTCAAAGATTATTTTTCCAAATTTCTACTGAAAAATCGATTTCATCCATGATGAAAAAAAATTGCTCACGTTTTGCTAAATGCAATTTAGATCACCCCGGCAAAACTGTAAATGACCGTTATACTTTATACCTTAATATAAATCCCAAGAGAAAAAAAAATGCAATTACTTTCTTTTTATTTTTATATTGCAGACGATTGACTGGAAATTTTAATGCATTATCAGTGGCATTTCTTCCATCGTTCTTCTCGAGTTTATCTGCAATCGTAATTGAGAGGCCTTCGAGGCGTACCATGCTGTGTCTCTACGTATCAAACATTGTAAAAAAATGCCTTTTTTTTCACATCCAAATGTTTGGAGCCAAATTCCCAGCTGAATAGAAAATCTCAATACATTTACTCTTGAAGCTCTTAATTGTCCGAATATTTGCGTAACTAATTGATCCGTGTATGCGATGGATCGAATAAAAACGATTTCATCAATTCATTGTTGAATGTTCAATTAATATTGAAGGTGAAACTTTTTTTTGACGACAGATACAACTATTGTTAAAAATGCATTCGTAGCTTCAAATTATGATGAAGCAATAATCTAGAAATCTCTTTGCCTCACATTAATTTCATAATTGAACCGAGAGTAAATTTAACAAATACATTTTTTGTGTTTATTCTTCAACTTCGCAATTTTCAATGTTTTTATCTATTCTGAATTGACACTATACATATTATTATTCAAAAAAATACATAGTCTACTAGTAATATTAGATTATTAAAATATCAAGACATTTCGCATCGGTTTAATGAATCTTGCCGTATTATTCTCAGGCAACAGAAACTCTTTTCAAGATGGGATTATGGCGAGGATACTACCGATCAATTCCCTATGGAAATGTTTACATATTCGCAGCCAGCATGGCTACACTACTCTATCTCTACCGAAACAGTGATGGCAATAACGACGCGATATTTAGGATAATAAAATTCGTTGCTAGTCCCTATGAGGCTAAAAATCATATACAAAGTCAAATTGGAGATAGAGCTGATAGGAGAGATGGGCAGAGTGATAGAGTAGAACACTCAATATCAAAATCAAATATTCTTATGGAAACACTTAGAGCTTATCACAGATTAACAAAATGGATTAAAAGCTTTGGGAAACATTGTCGGTGTCCACATCCTCATAGTTGTGCAAATTTTGTTCTGGGCGTGAGTAAACATCAATGTATTTTGTATTTTTATTTTATTCAAGTTGTATTCCATAATAAGCTCTTCTATTCTATTTCAAATTTCTATGGCGGATCTGCAATGATTTTAATCGATCTTTATTGTTTTTCAGGGAGGCTCTAAGTTGTTTGGAATTGGACTGACTGTACAAATAGGATTAAAATTAATTGTGCAGCTGAAAACATTGTTGAGAAAGCCTTATTTATTAAAACCTATGATTTTTCAAAAGAAAAACATTGACTTGGCTATTTTTCTCGGTGGATTCACTGTTATATACAGGGTAATTACAATATAATAGGTCGAATATATGAAATAAATAAAAGAATTGAATGATTCGATTCATTCATTTTTTTTTCTTTCATCATGCTTTCAATTTCCCTGGGATTTTTTAAAAAATTGATAAACTTCATTTTGAAAATGATTTTCAGTTTGTCTCTTGTACATTACGAAGATTCAACGATGGTGATAATCCTATTCACGCATTGCCAGCTGGATTACTCGCAGGATTGACATTCGTCATGTTCCCCAACAACACTATTGCTCTCTACGTCATGTGGAAGTCATTGCAAGTATGATGAATCATAATAAATTATTACATTCACAATTTCAATGAAATTTTTTTTTTTCTGCAAATTTCCTCAACTAAAAAATCGTGTAATTTCCCCTTTGCCTTTTTACGTCCAATGAATTTCATGTTTCAGTTATTTTGGAATAAGGGAATCGAAAATGGAACATTACCAAAGATCAAAGGATTCGTGATTGTCCTTTATTGCTTCAGCACAGCTGTTTTATTCCACGCAGCTATGGTCGAACCACAAAACTTGAGAGCCTCTTACTTCAAATTTTTACACAGTTTATCTGGTGGAAGGTAATAAATAAGAAAGGGAATTGAAATTTTCCTCTAATAATTAATATACTCATTGATAACTAATTATTTTTATCATTTCTTAAAGATTAGCAACAATGAATCGAATTCCTCTTGATCAATTCGGCCTAGAGACATCAAAATACCTGGAACAAGTTCTCATAAAAACAAACACCACAAATAAGCTGATTTTTTCGTTTTGAAGGGCAATAAATTGATTATTAGAAACATAAAAATCAAACAGCAAGCGAGAACATTAAATACAACAGATTCAAGTCCGTATAGGAAAGAATTGCAAAAATTGCGGGGCCAGCTTATCATTACCTCACAAAAAGCAAATGCGTGTCTTTAACTTATGCAACGAGTCAACAATACATGAGTAAATAACATTAGTTAAATTTGCTCGTCGTATTCTAGAGTAGAATTATGCATGAAATGGAATGTACGATACTTCTTATTGAGAAATCGTGACCTTTGCAGTGCTCGTATGACGCAAATGAGAAAATATGTGGAGAACTCTCTCTGTATACATTATAATGCAAAAAAAAAAAAAAAACCAAACAAAAACAAAAACAATTCAGATATTTGAAGCAATTGTTTAAAACTACTGAAAGGTATAGAGAATGAATTCTCTCATCAACTATTTCTTTCTAATGCTCACTTATTTCGCCTTTCAGTGCTCATATATTTAATTCAAAAAAATTACATGAGCAAACATTCTACTTTGTCCCATGCTCCCCTATCAAAAAGCATTTTAGTAAAAAAAATTTGTAGCTAGAAAAAACGCTTTTATGGGATTAGTTTTTTTCCTTTAAATCACTATTTAATGACAAATAAACGAATTATGTAATGAACAAATTAAAAAGTAATTTCAGCGGAATTTAAAATGTAAATAGTCAAATGTTTTTAACAATTCCGAGAAAACTTCGGAGAAACATTTCCTTTTTTTTTAGCTGAAAATAGTTTTCTACAAAAATATCGTTTGATATTTTCTCGTCAACCTAATCGTTAATGAGATAATCGTATTAACAATAGTGAAGTTCCACAATTGCCTTCAATCGTTTTACTACACAATCGCTCACTTTTATTGTTATACAAGGGAAATAATTGTTGAATCGCTCTTAATTACAGATTCGTGAAAACCAAAGAGACTTTCTTAAATAAACAAATCGGTTGAAAAATAAACTCATATCATTGCAGCCGTCCATCAACAATAATTTTATTGTTTTAGGCTAGTAAAAATTAGAGGGTAAATGTTAATTGGTGATAGGATAATCAATTAGAAGTACTTGCAAGCCAAGTTGAAAGAATGGTGCCTGGTGAACATTGTGATAGTAAATTTTTATACCATTTAGATATTAAAATTACGTTTATTGCATCAACTATTGATTGGTACTTTATCGTTGATAATTGATTATAATATAAATATAATGTAGAGGGTTCTTGTAGAGGGAGGTTGACTTTAATAGTTTAGTAATGAGTATATATTATATTGGTATAGTATATGAAAATAAAATTGAATTGCAGCGGAATATAATTATGATTTCAATTTGAATAGACATTGGCACAAAATTAATGCAGATGAGATTAAAAAATAATTGGAATGAAACACCAGAAAAAACGACTATTTATCACACACAATTCAGACAACATTTTTTTTCTTCTTATTTTTAATTGAGTATTGTTTGACTCTTTACCCTCAATTAAAAGCAAAACATTAAGTGTCCTGAATTGTGTCAACTATAGTCGTTTAATTTTGACTCGGTGTCCCCTACCAACTGACGACTTACTGCCTTATCCCTCACCAGTTCAACGGGACTATTGTACTATCAAATTTGCAGTAATTATGCAAAAAAAATTTTTATCGTTACCATAAAAAGGCGACAGACAGTTACGTCAAGTTCAGAGTCTAATTTATATATGGTACGAGTCAACAAGTGAATAGGTAAAAATGTAATATGAAATAAAAATAAACAAATAAATAAATAAATAAATAAATAAAATGAAATGAAAAAAACTTTTATTCGTAGAAGCTAAAATTGTAAGAAAAATTATAATCTTCATTATTTGAACATGTTTGTGATTTTTGTTTTTTCACGTGAATTAAATACCAAAATACCACTGTTGTAACATAAATGTCAAATTATCAAAGTTATTTATTCTTCTTGATTATCGTAAAACTTTTCGACTCTTGATAATTTGAATAGCTCTATCCATCACCTTATTAGCCTTCTCCTCCTCCTCCCTCCTCCTCCTCCTCCTCCTCCTCCTCTTTCTCGTCCCCTTCTGATTATTCCTCAGCACGCTCTCCCAATTCACTCTCTTCCGTGAGACCCCTCTATCATCTAAAATCCCCGCAACAATCTCACTCCCAGCATTCGAACAAACCACTTCAGGCTGAATTGGCCATCCAGTACTCCCCAGGATATCCAATGAGTTTGCCTGCCAGGGTAGGATCCCAAAGGCGCAATCTCTCCAGTTGAAATTGCCAGGAGCCAACTGCCACAGAGAATTCCTCACAGAAGCCTCACAGAAGCTTTCGTCTTCATTCACCATCTCCCCCCCTTCTCCACAAATTCTCATTAATTCTTGGACTGTGTGCACAACTTGATCATAATCCCCATTGTCATTGTCATAAATAACTTGTGCACTTTGAATTCTCAAAAAGTCCAACAGATTGCTCTTCTTTTCAGCATTCATCTCAGGACTGATCAATTCCAAATATGGCCCGATAAAAATTGCCGTATATTGATTAGCGTTCATAATCACTTCCTCACTGAATCTCTCATCAGTGAAAACCCTAGGAACATGAGAGTTCACTCCTAACCATGGACAGTCCCTCAGCTCTCTGTAACTCGTATTAATAATTCCCTCTAGCTTTTTATTGATAGCCCTCTGCGGAGTCTTCTTGCTTCCCTCCTGGGAATGCTCCAGCTTCTCCCCCTCCTTGTGTGCAATTTTCAACTTGAGAAAACTCTGACCGATAGTTTTTAGCCACAAACTTGCACATTCCCTCATCTGGCTGCTGTTTCTTCCATCATTACAATTGACTACCTCAATTAGCTTAAAAGTCAAGGCCTCCAGGAGTTTTGCCTCATGAATGAGAGAAATCATCGGCTGCCAGAAGGCGATCAATTGTCTAGGTAAATTCTGACGCCTCTGATAATTTTCATCATCACATTTTCTTGAGAATAGCTCTAAAATCTCATGACTGACGAGAAAGACCTGGCTGTTGATAAGGACATTGGTGATTATATTCGCCAGGGACTTTTGGTGGTCTTTGCATCGATAAAGTTGATTCGTTATATCTATGAGGAGATGAGATCTTGCTGTCTTCAGACGATAAGTGTCTTCCTCCTCCAGCTCTCCGTGCTCTGAGAGAATACTAGTATCTAGGTGTCGTTTAGAGACCATGTTTGTGCATGTTTGAGCATCAAAGTCCTTGAGGGTATTCCTGAGATGCTCATCGGGAAGATGTGAGACGAGTGACAAGCCTGACTCCATGTAGAGACCGACTGACATCCAGAGTTGTATGAGATCAACGAGACCCTCCAAAGAATCCATCACCTCCATTTCTGTCATTTCATTTTGTTTCTTGAGCGCTTGATCGAGGGCTTGGGCTTCTGGTGCCCAATACTCTTCGTACAACCACGTCAACAAGACGTTGGTGGCCATTCGTAAGAGGGTGATAGAGGGCAACTCGTGTCCATGGGCTGTGTCGTGGCGCAGGTTTACGATCCACTCGGGAATTCTCAGTTGCTTTGCTATTTGGAAGAGGGAAGTTTGCTTTGTGGGGCCGATGTTCGAAATGTGATTGAGGAAGCGCATTATTGTGGTAGAGTACATGAGGGAGAGGTCGTTCTCGTGGTACATGGGGAGAGCCCCGGAATTTATTTGCCGGCTCCATGAGCGATCTCGCAAGCAGACCTGGATCAGGGAGAGAGTGCACTCAATGCCCACTGGGAGCTTTGATATTCTGTAATTATCAAAGACCAGATGGAACATTTATACTTTTTGTGCTTCTTTTTTTTCTACACTGAAGAGCATTGAATTGAAATTTTTCTCCACAGAATGAAATCCCCTCGTGAGATTTGTACTTTCAACAAGTACAAATTTCATCAGGCAAATTCATTTTTCATTGTATGATAATCGTTTAACATTTATATTTACCGGCCTTTCCACACCAACAGCATCTCATAACCTCTCGTCTGTTGCTGCGTGTCATTAGAATAGATTTTTTTATACACGTCGTACCACTCTGCCCTGAAACATCACATCAACATTTAATAGCGCTTCCCCTACTGCCAATCAACATTAACTCTCTCACTGTATAACAATTAATTAGAATACGTACAGGGAAAACCAAGGAACACGTTTAAGCTCGTTACTCCTTGTATGCAGTGCCATCAGTGAAGACTGCTGAAGACTGAACTGCACTGCACTCAACTATATACACTAACACACATAACAGTGTCATATTCTCTCTCTCTCTCTCTCTCTCTCTCGGGCGTTTGGGAAATGCGCGAGCATTTACTATATTACCAGTGGCAACGGGAGCGCGACACTCTGCCGTAGATGGAGGACTCTACTTGCATAGGTACGCGTATATTACACATAGAAGAAATTACATAGTAGAATTATAAACAACCCAAGAAAAAGTGCAATATTTAATCCAATCTCATATTTTTCGTTAAAATGAATCTGTTAATTGTTCATGTCCTTGGATAACCCCTATTTTCACACCCCCTATTGGATAAGTTTTATCGAGACGAACAAAAACATGTGAGCTAGTCGAAACAAATATTTGTGTATTTTTTTTATCATCCGGCTTTTTGGTGTGAAAATTTTGTGGAGATTGTTAACATCTGTTATTCCACATTGAATCATTTAAGGAGAATAGTTTTCCACATGAAAGAAGACCAATTTAATGTTTTTTTTCTCATTGTTTTCAACATCATAGAATTCAACGACTGTCTAAATAATCCAATAACAGAACTACCAACTTTAAATAGATGAAAAAAAAAAAAAAAGTCCAATTGCTGATTAGTAAGCATAATAATACCTAACTTCAATAATTTTGTCAACCATCTATTTATCTTCCCAGCTGTTCATTTTAGAAGAAAATATTTTTCAACACATTTCCACCAAAAAATGTCCTCTCGCATTATCTCTCAAATCTTTCATTATTGAGATAATTCAATATATTCAATTATTTTTTTAGCATTTACAGGAGAAAATGTCTTGGTGATTACAACGCGGTCAAACATCTCAACGTAGAAGAAAGCAGTTTTTTTTCTTTCAAAACGCCCTAGAAATGACGAATCAATTAGGAATATTGATTCAACTATCTCTGATATTGCTCAACACAAAGTACGTTTTTTCGACCTCACCGCATCCGAAACTCCTCGTAATATCTTACGACGCATTTAGGTAATTTGGAAAAATACCTTTTGAAAAATTTATGTTGGTTTTTCATCGCCATTGTTGTATTCGCCACTGAGTGATCAATTTTTTTTGAGATAATAGGATCTCCCGTCATTTGGGAGATAACAATCAACAACTTTGATTGTTGTTTTATTTTTTTTAGATACGATTACTTTGATAGAAATATAACACCCTTCATGGTTCAGATGAAAGAAGAGGGGACTGATGTTGAATACATGAATAATGTGTTTGTGACAAAAACACTAATAAATCATCACTCCATTGCAACCGGATTTTATGCTGAGACCCATGGGGTCCTAGAGAATGTCATTCTGGGGCCCGAGGGGTTCCTCAATATCTCCCAAGAGTTGTTCAGTTATAATAAGAATATTTTACCTATTTGGGTAAGAGGAAAAATCTCTATAAACTAAAATCGTTGTTTTTTTTCTTCTAATTCTCGTCTTTCCTATTTTTAACTATCCTGAATAGTTTATCAATGTTTATATTATGATGGAATACAATTTCATCTTGACGTATTGTATTGTTGGCAGTTATGGAATGGATATTCATCGAGTCCTTAAATCCATAACGCTCATCATTTAAAAAGTGAAAATATTATTGGAAAATCACTAATAAATTTAAAAATATGAAATATGCTTTTTAAAATTGTTAAAGTGGAAAATTCATTATTTCAGACTATCAACGAACTGGACGGTGAAAACAGACACAGTGGAACGATGATGTGGCCTGGGAGTGAATACAAATACCGAGGGATGGTAGTACCGAGTCATGTCATGGTAGATAACTATCCTCCAATTATTAAACAGAAACTCATTTTATTATTATCATGTCAACTGTTAATTTTGAGGAAAAAAAGCTCTTTTGACCTTTTCTCTTACACCCACTTATTATCAAAGAAATGAACGCAAACTAATAATAATAATAAATAATAACAATCCCCTTTTACAAAGTTTAAATTGAAATTTTCAGCCCCTCAACATTTCAATGCCCTGGAAGGCTCGTGCCGACAAAGTAATATCCTGGTTTCTCGATGAGAAGAATCCAGTGAATTTCGCTGCACTATACATCGAAGAGCCCGATGCTCACGCCCACGCCCTAGGCACCGAACATCCAAGAGTTAAAGAATTATTACGAAAACTCGATGAGTTAACGAAATACATTCACGACAAACTCGAGGAGCATAATCTTCAAGATGTGAACGTAATCCACTTGAGTGATCACGGTATGGCGGATGTATCTATTTCTAGAATAATAAATATCACCGAATTGGTTGGTAAAGATGATTATGAGACTGTCGCCAGTACCTCTACAATGTTCATAATGCCTCACGAAGGTGAATTGATTGCTATACTTATAATCGATACTTGTTCAATTAATTATGAAACTATCGGCAACTTGAAAATTTCTTTTCGTTCTTTTTCCTTTTTTTTTTCTTTTTTAGGGAAGGAGCATAATGTCTATAATAAACTCAAAGCGGCAGCTAATAAAACTGGGGCCTTTGAGGTCTGGTGGAAACACGAAATACCAGAACGGTATCATTATGGTAGTAATAGCAGAATGAGCTCGATATTTGTCGTGGGCAAGGTCGGCTATGCATTCGAAGGACTCTATAACTCATTTCCTTATTATCAGTCTACATTCAACGTCACAAGTAATTATAGAATCATGTTGAAAAGAATGATTCCTTTTCGAGAAAAAACGATTTGTTGAGTGAATTATTATTTTCATTTCAGTTACTAATGACTCACTGTTCGGAGTACATGGTTACGATAACGAGGATCGTAGGATGCACCCAATGTTCTTTGCCAGAGGCCCAGCGTTCTTATCACACTGCAAACTAGAACCCTTTCAGAATATTGACTTACTGTCACTCTTTTGCAATCTTCTTCATATTTCCGAGTGCCCCAATACTAATGGCACTCTCGAGGCTTTTAAACCTTGCCTTAAGGAGTATGAGGATCCATCAAAGGACAAGAGTGTCTGTATGTATCTAATACCATCATTAAACATTTATTCTTCATTTCTGTGAGCCATTGTGATCACAATATTTTGCCCCAGTGTCCATTATTTTTTACAATTGGTAAACATCTCCTCTAAAAATGTTATCCATCCCTCCCATATAAATGTTTTATTAATTTTCATTGTCTTTATCAATCCTTGCAGATGCTGCATTGATTAGTATGATAATAGTTATTTGCATAGTCGTTTTGGGAACCCTCTACTACCTGAGAAGAAGCCGAGAGCAACGATATTGGCACGCATACAAGTAATTTCTTCCTCGTATCAATCTCTTTTCCATCTTGGGAGTGCTTGGTTCCATTCATTCCCTCAAAAAAATGTCCACTCTTTTATTACTTGATTTGACTTGAATGGCATTTTTTTTTGAGAAAAAAATATTTTTTTTTCGCTTTATAAAATTTTTTTTCTCACTGAAAAGCTGTTTTTTTTTTTTTCAGTATTTGATATTTAGACAGTAAAATAGATGATGTATTTTCAGGAGACCAAACTATGAAGGGTCTGCATAAAATTTCAAACGAGTAATTTCTGTTTTTACTGAAATAATAACATAGTGCATGATTAGAAGTTTTTCTGCGTGTCAGGCACCTGTGTGGATTTTTTTGGTCACAAAGATTTTTCCTCAGGGAGTCTGTGATGTAGTTAATTTATTTGAGTGCAATTGCAGGCAAATATTGGACGACGCTAAGATGGAACAGCTGTGGGACGATCGTCATGACGTGGAAACGATGTGACAGTAGATAAGATGATTTAATTGATGAGGAAACTGGTGGTTAAGTGGAGATGAGTCCAAAAATCATTTGCAAATATCTAAAGAGGATATATTAGAGAAAAATATTAAAGGACATTTAGACCGTTGTTGATGGGCTACAAAATAGTTTTTTAAGATCCATGTTCTTTCTGAGTACGCGAATTTCAGGAATTTTCGCAAAGTAATCCTGTAATTTTTTAAATTTTACTTGAAAATCAATTTGAAAAATAGAAAAATAAAATTTTGAAAATATTTCTTGAATAAAAGATGTTTAGAGAAAAATACTACGAAACTTTTTCATAGCTCTTGAAGTTCTCTACAAAAAATGTCTTGTTACATTTTCCTTCCAATGGCTTTATTTAAAAAATATTCACAAAATAAACTAGGCAATTTTTTTTTGACTTTATCATCAGTTTCATTCGCCTCGAACAATTGCCCCATCCTCAACATTTTTCTCTCATCCTTTAAATACAATTAATTACAATTGATGGCCTAGTCCTATTTATTGAAAACCAAGATTTAATAGTTAATTATTGACGCATTGATTTTAAAAAGAAAATAACCTGATTGTTACGTAAATTTTAAATTTAATTTTTATCCATTCACGTACCTCAATTTATCTTGTGATTTACAATTATCAATGTACAAAAATAAATTACCTCTACTACAAGAAGTGAGATCGATTGATGCTAGTTATTACTTGGAGAGTTTCAAACTTTCGTAAATTTTATTGCATTTCAAGTGAATGCATAAGTCATTCATGAATGTTACGACGTGGGGATCCTTGTCTTTTTGCTTTCCACTTTCGTATACTGTTATCAAGGTCATTCGTGGATCTATGTTTGACATTGCATAAGTTATTGGATCTTTACTGTGTTTTATATAGAATATTTTGTCCATGTTGAGGAGCTCAGCCTGACGTTCTTTTATTGCTTGTCTAATTGTGTCCCAGTGGATTGAAGGTTTTTGTACCAATATCTAAAAGATGTATATAATTGGGTGATTAATTGATTATTTCTACTACTTTATAGATTTAATTTTAATTTCTCCTCTGATTCCATTTCAAAATTTGATCAATATATAATAAATCTCTTACACTTGGACATCCAACGACAATGGGAAATTCTTCACAAGTATCAGGCTCTCTATCAGGATGACGATATCCCGGCCCTGAATCCTCAGCTCCCCGTGCATCGAACATAATTAAAACAGCCAAAACGTCCCATTTCCTTTGAAATGTTTGGATTCTACACACGAAAATAATAATTTAATTAACTCATGTTCTCCCTCGGACAGAGATGTTCCAACAAATATAAATAATGTTTCTGGAAAGAATTTAATATTTTTGTTTCCTCTAATGTCTCTCATATATGAATATTGGTATTTATTCTTCATGTATGAGATTCATCAATATGGTGGATTATCACATTATTTTCCCTCATTAATGTATACAATAATACTTGTGATAATAATCCAGATTCTGTTTGCTCATGATATTTCTCATCTCTCCCTGGGTTGCCTGTTGGCTCAATGTCGTATGAAAGTATAGAGAGCATTTTGCTAGAATGGCAGATTTCAATTTTACGAGCCACTGATAGAGGGCTGGCTGTTGATTGGCTTTGAGAAACGTTGCACCGAATCCCAATTTCCACGACTGAAAAACAATTGTTTTTTTTTCTTTTTTTTTTTCAATTTTCACAATTGGAGGGAAAATTAATTTTTCACGTTTTCTCACTTCTTTACTCTGGAGTGTTCGCTCCCAAGCGGTCATTCTCGCTTGTGCGCCATATAATGCCATTAAACTAGATAAAAATCTCCAGTTTCTAACTTCGACTTGTGCTCTTGTTAATTGTACCAGAATTTCACATTCTAATCTGTAAATTAAGAAAAGTAAAAAATTAAGCAAATCGCTTAAATTGCTAACAATTCTTACGTCAGCGCAGCTTTAATCGCAGTCAAAGCCATGTGAGAGCAAGATAGCGAATGTGTGTCGACAATTCCTTCAATAATTCTCAATAATTCCTGATGGTTCATGGATTTATTTGCCAGGCTCATATTATACATCTTTTCATAACTGCAACATCGAAATAATTATTACAAAAAAAAAGGTACATGTCCGTGATGAGAATGATAAAGTTGTGTGAATCTCACAATTCTATCAATTGTATCCTAGCGCTGATAAACTGACATAGTTGATTAGACACTTCAGCAACAGTAGCTCCGATTGTGTTGGTCCCCCTTGTCATCTCCTCAACCCTTCTTAGGTCTCCCTTTAGGCATTCATAAGTGGGCTTCAATGAGGTCTACACAAAATCATAAGCCACAATTTCAGTTATTTATTTATTTATTTATTTTTTTCATAATAAGAAAAACCAGGCAATTTTTTAGTAGATTGTAAAAAAAACACGACAATACATCTTTACGTAGGAATCCCTTATTCTTTGTGTGCAGAAATCCCAAATCCGCGTAGGAACGTTCAGCAACGACCACTTGTGGAAGATGCATGAGCAGCATTCCCCAGGGCCCCATCTGAGTCAGTCGACATGATTCTCTCTCTTTCTCCTAATCCAACAAACTACAATTAATTCATTAAATTTGAAACAAGAGTTTTTTTCTAATAAGAATTAACATGCAAAACTCTTTTTCCATATAGAAAGAAAAAAAAAAGTTTGAATATGCAAATAATAAAATGAAATTTATCCATTTTCTTATATCCCTCAACTAATGGATGTTGAGTGAATTCTATTTACTTCTTAAATAATTATTGTTCCATTGTCTTGATCAATTACCACGGACTCTTTGGCCTTCTCGAAGCACAGCTGGGTCACTTGCGTGAAGAAAGTGTTTAAAAATTCCTCCTCATGATCCATTCTCAATTATTTTTCTAATTCTATCACTTGATATCACATTCCCCTACATTATGCGAAACTTTTTTGGAGCCTCTCATCTCTAATACAAAAACCTTGAAGCTCCATCGCTGATGTAAATACACTTGTTTTTTTTTTTGTCAAAAATTAATAACGTAACCTCGATTTCAGTGGTAGGGGGAGCACGATCGTGTATATTATATATATAGTATTTTCAAAAGATATAGGTTAAGGTTTCACGTAATATATTGGGGGGGAAATGGAAAACAATAAAAATTTATAAAAATAGAATTATTGGTTATTGGAAAAAATATTTGTATTACGAAGGAAAAAATTAACAATAAAAATAATAACTTATCCTTTGATTAAAAAATATTTAATTCTACATTTGTACAAGAATGATTAAGAAGAAAAGGTAAAAACGTCAACAATGAAATTACAGTGCCATAATGGCGCGTTTGAGTGCTCTTTCCTTACTCTTCCTAATTTTATTCTTATTTTTCTTTGATTTTGTCGCATCGTGGAATAGTTGGACTCCATCTTTATCCTCAACCTCTCTCTGAATGGATGTCATTCCGTAAAGATTGTAGCCAACAGTGTCCTGCGAGAAACAAAGAATTAAAACAACTGGAAATTTTCAAAAGAAAATGAGAAAATGTTAGCACAATAATACTAGTAATAATAACGAAAATACCCTCAAATGGCCAATTCTCTTCATCGCTAAATCCCTGACTTCCTCCAGTACCGGCAAAAGATCAGAATTAGCAACAATTGGTCCATGATGTGCTTGAATAAGATTGACAGCCAATCTACTCAGCATTTCCGCCTGATATTCACTCCTCAGCAATGTTGGAAGCGTGCTGAGTATTTGACAAGCTGCAGAAAAAGGGAGAAGCAGTAGAGTCTCCTCCATATCCCCAGCACGAATTCTTTTCAATGTCTCGAGCAAATATTCTTCACTTGTTGTACAATTATAGGCCTGCATCAGTAGTGGAGGGGCTGGAGGTGCATTGGGTGGCACGACTCTTTCCAATTCCTCATTGTAGGCTTTGGAAATGTCGAGGCATTCTAAAATGAGTTCTGCAGCCTTCTCACTGTTGACAGTTTTCCTCGAAGGAAGGATTTGTTGCTTTTGTCCTTGTACTGCCGTTGTATTTCCAGTAGCTAGTTGATTCTCCTGTTTCTCTCGTTCTTCTTCTCCTTCATCCTCGAGAACTAATGGCTCTGAGGATCTTTCGTAGAGTCTGACAACTTTGTCAGAGCCACACGAGGCAACGAACATTCCGTTCGGAGAAACTGCACAGTTCCAAGCTTCTCCTGTGTGTCCCTAGATTTAAAAATAAATTTATATATTTTTTGTCAAATAATAAATGTTGTCAGTCAATGAGTGGATTTTTATTGAAATCTAGTCAAGTATCACCTGAAGTGTCACAATTTTCTGAAAACTATCAGCATCCCACTCTTTGACCCGGCCATCCTTGCCCGAGGTGAAGAAATAATGGGTCCTTGGAACGAAATTCAATCCAGTAACGGAGTCATCATGGGCAAATAATGATTTATGGCAATCACCAAAGTCCATTCCCCATATTTTGATATTTCTATCTGCAGATCCAGTGGCTATTAACGTAGAATCGCTGGATATATCCATACACAGGACTGGAAGTTTGTGTCCATAAAGAGAGATGAAAAACTAAATGAAAAGAAACAACAAGAGGAGTATTAAAAATTATTATGGAGATGATTATCATGTTAAAGAAAATGGATAATTAAGCATCCGCACCTTGAACGTATCCAAGAAGAAAATCTTGACAGTTGAATCCAACAGAGCCACAGCAACAAATCTTCCATTAGGACTGATTCTTACACAGAGCACTCCCTCCTCGAGTTTGAGAGTTCTCTTGTGCAATACCGAGAGTACCTTGCATTTTGTATCACTTTTATCATCCTCAATGAGCTCAAAATTCCAAAACTTTACCGTCTGATCTCCCCCTCCACTGGCCACCCCCTTTAAATCTGGGTACAAAACAATACTCCAGACCTCCCCTGTATGCGCCTGAATCTCCTCGAGAATATCACCCGAGGCAATATCGACAATCAGCATATTGCCATCCTTCATCCCCACTACAACATGTCTATCGCCAGGTACAAAAGTCACCGAGAGTGCATATCCACATTGAACAGTTGTCAGACAAACTAAGGAGGGTCTATTCCACAATTTAATCGAGTCCCCAGAGACAGTGGCAAATGCCAGATTATCAGAGCTAAAAGAGATGGCCCTAACGTCAGTTCTATGCCCCTGAGAAGTGATACTTCTCAGCAAACACACCTCCTCCTGCTCCTCCTTATGTCTTGTCACATTTAGAGAATAAAGCTCAATGCTATTGTTGTTAAGACCCACGCAGACCCTGACCTCGCCACCGTTACCCATCACCACGTCAACACTCTTGGCCTTGCTGGTGACCTTGATGACTGGAAGACGTCTCACTTCATCACTCAAATTGAGGGCCTCCTCCTCCTCGTCCTTTTCTTTCCCTTCTCCTCCACCCCCTCCTCTTTTGGCCCTGTTTTTCGCCTTTTTCAGGCGCCGCTTCGACACCTTTGCCTCTACCTCTTGGTCAGGAATCAAGTGAAACAGTTCTATGCTATTCTCCACCCCATGGCATACAATTATTCGACTTGTTGGGTCTGAAGATAGGGAAACTACTCGTCCCTTTCCCTTTCGCAGAATGCTCCCAACCTTGTCGCACCTCAAGGGATAGTCGCAAGCATTCAAGTCATTGCTTTCGTCGTCGTCCGACATGAGATGATAAATCTTGTAGACTCGGAGCTCGTGGTCATTACAACCTGTTACTAGGTACTTGTCGTCCTTGACGAGAGTGAATCCCCACACCTCAGATCTGTGACCGACAATTGTTCTAAAGTTATGCTCAGTGTCGAGGTCCCAGAATTTGATAAATGTGTCTTTGCTGGAAGTGATGAGAACGTTGTGCTCAAGCATGAAGGAAACCTTGGTGATAACTCCTTTATGACCGACTAGGCGACAAATTCCACTCTCAGCGACTACATCCCAAACGATGACGTCGGTATCTTTAGAGCCAGAGGCCAAACGATGTCCCAGCGAGTCATAGGAGAGGCTCGTTATTTCACATTTGTGACCGACGAAGATGCTGATATTCTCGCCGGAGCGGAGGTCGTAGGTCTTTATAGTACCGTCAGCATAGCCGACGGCTAAGTGACGCTTGTTCGGGGAGGCCGCGAGGCAAGTTACTTCGGAGCTCTCACCTGTAAGAACCTGCGCTTTCTCCGAGAGACGAAGGTCCCAAATAAAAACATGCTCGCAAGCGCCCACTGCCACGAACCGACCTTGTTGAGCTTCTAGCGTTACAAAGGCCAAGTTGCAGCATTTGGGGCTCGTAATTATATTGAGGTTACCACTGGCAATGTAGCGGAGATATTGTTTTGTAAGGGGCATGTTGGACGATCAACTCAAATTATTTTAATTTTTCAACTATTTATTTTTATTATTACCTGGAGTTTATCAATTTATTATCAATTGTTCGTAATTTTTTATCTATGTAAACACTCTATCCCTTTTTGAGGTTATGCTCTACTGATGCAACTGATGATTTCGGAGAGCGAGGTGGCGAGGTCCCAGCACACACGTGGTATAATCGATCGGTAAAGCAGAGCTTCATTTTTTCTTTTTTTTTTTATCAATAATATTATAAATATTGTTTTTGTTTTTTTATTAATCATGACAAAATCATCGAGCTGTACATTTGGAATATTTTTTAACCACCTCTCGATAAAAATTGAAAATATATTGGCTAGCTTCTCTGCACTGTTTCATTGAAATCATCAGTTCCTTTTCAGTGAATATTCCAGACGTGTGACAGGTGATAAGATCCTTTTTTATGCTGTCGAATGCGTACGTGAATTTCGCTCTTGCATTCTGTGATGAATCAATAAAAAACAATAGTGACCTTCAGTCATGTGAAAAAATTTCATTTGTGAAATGAAGGAATTAGTACCTGTAATTGATTTGGTTCAGGATCCAAAATAATTTTTCCACTGTCTTTATCTATCATACAGTGAATAGCAGCAATTGTGAATTTCATTGATAAACTTGAGTTGATCAGTGCTAAATTAGCAGCATTAATGGCACATGCTAACAGCTGAAATGAAAAAAAGAAAAAAAAAATGTTGAAAAATAAATAAAAACAAAATCGATTTGAATGAAATGATAACTGAATACTGAATGAATTCTCTTACACCCCCAGCATCTTCCATTTCCTGCAGATTTATGGAGATGGCTGTACCTGGATGTAGACTGATCATAATTGTTGATTCACACGTCTCCTTAATGTACAATTCCTTCATTCTTCCATCAATACCTGAAAATATATATGTATATATGATCAGTCTAGACTAGTCAAAAAAATATAAAATAACCAATTGCACTCTCAGGTGAATGTAATAATTATTATACTGACTGGGTGGCCCTTTAATGGGGCTGAATACGACTTCAATGTGTGCTTTATCATACATCATTTTTGCGAGTCTTGCTTCGATGGGCCCATAGACTCCAGCAGCTATACAAGTGTCCCCTGTAAAAGAAAAAAAAGTATTTTAAAAAATAATAATACTACCATTATTTTTGCATTATTGTCAAGTACAAAATATTATGTATATCTAATAATAACCTTGCATGAATATCGTGGAACCATCGGGCATTGATAATTGATTTAATTCACAATTCATCTCTCTCAGGATACATTTGTCTTGTTCCATCTTTATGCAATAATATATGTAATAATAAACAATTATTCCAACGGAACTTTTTCACTATTATATTATTAAAGAACACATGAACAACAGAGCAGCCAGCCAGCCAGCCAGCCTCCATGAAGTGTGAAGAACTCTGAAATATTTTCTCAAACGATAAAAACGGAATCCACTTTACTAATAAAGTGAGAGGGTACCTTCCCTCGCATCACGAGAGAATGCAAAAACCAAACATTTGCCGCCACTTGCCATCGTTTTTCAAACACTCTCTCATCCAACAAGACAGTTATTCAATTATACACTCAACGTTATAAGAAAAAATATTATTATGAAAAATCAGGCACTGCTGGCAATTGGCAAAATTCATGGCAATAATTTTTAATAATACTTGATGATATTAGTATAAGCCGCATGTGTGTGCCTGTATCATTGGAAAGCTGTGTGCTAGGGGCGATCAATAATTGGGCTCTGCCAGTAACGCATGTTCTCAGTCTGATCTTCAGTCCGGGGTTCAAGGACGTCGTTGTTACATGTCTATATTTTTTAAATTTTATCTGTGGCATTTAAATTCTGTGCGTTTACGGTTTATCAGAGACAGTTTGATGGGTGCTGGATAAGCTTGGCCATCCGAGCGTCTTAATTGTGCTAATTTGGAAGTATTTATCAATAGTCAAAATGACAGACGACGAGTCGGTTTCAAATATGAAAAGGCAGAATGTCAGGACTCTGTCGCTTGTAGTTTGTACGTTTACATATTTATTGATTGGAGCTGCTGTTTTTGATGCTCTGGAGTCAGATACTGAGAGAAAACGGTGGGAATTTCTGTCTGGTGAGTGTTAATATGTCATGAGATAATTGCCATGTTTTCTATTTCTATATAATGGTGGTTGTGTGTGTGTGTATGTGTGTGTGTGTTTTTTTTCCTCCAGAAATAAGGAGGAATATGATTAGAAAGTATAATATTTCACAAGAGGATTACAGAATGGTGGAGATTGTTATTATTGAAAATAAACCCCACAAAGCTGGACCACAGTGGAAATTCGCTGGGGCATTCTATTTTGCAACTGTCGTACTTGCTATGATTGGTGAGTTGCTATGATATTTATTATTTGATGAAAGCTGCTCGACAGATCGAGCAATAATGCGTATAATGATATTATCTATAATTTCTAGGATATGGACATTCAACCCCTGTAACAGTTTGGGGAAAAGGCTTCTGCATGCTCTATGCAACAATTGGAATTCCCTTGGGTTTAGTAATGTTCCAGAGTATCGGAGAGCGATTGAATAAAGTGGCATCAGTTGTCATCAGACGGATGAAGAAATACATGAGGTGCCACAAGACAGAGGCGACAGAGATGAATCTCATGCTTGCCACTGGTGTTCTCTCCAGCATCATCATCACTACTGGCGCTGCTGTGTTCTCCCGCTATGAGGGTTGGAGCTACTTTGATAGTTTTTATTACTGTTTCGTCACATTGACAACTATTGGATTTGGGGATTATGTCGCTCTGCAGGTACATATGAGCAGAACAATGTGTGGCGTTTTTAATGTCACTTATTACAAATTTATTATTAATGATGGCTATTAATTTTTATTCTCCTCTTGAGTGCAGAATGATCAAGCACTGTCTACAAAGCCCGGATACGTTGCCCTAAGTCTTGTATTTATACTCTTTGGTCTGGCAGTTGTCGCTGCCAGTATAAATTTGCTCGTTCTTCGCTTCATGACAATGTAATCATTATTACCTATTATAGTCTTTATATTGAGAAAAAAAAGGAAAAAAAAGCAAGAAAACTCTTTTCCTTTTTCAGGAATGCAGAAGAAACCAGGAGAGACGAGAGTGAACTCCAAGCCTCTTCTCACCATGTTCTCACCCTGGATGGTGAGGTTCTAGCAGTCAATGGAAAATTACTATCAAGTCATGTTCCTCCAATGATCCACGAGACTGATGATTGTGTGAGTGTTTGCTCATGCACCTGCCTTGGTACTGCCACCACCGAGCTGATCGACTCTTCAGGCTACCAGGGCTACCGTCCACCATCTAGCAGTGCCAGTCTACGTGTGAAACGTGCGTCTGTTTGATGGAGGGAGTATCGCCGTCGTAGTAGTCAAATTCGTCGGTTGTGGAGGGTTGAGAGTAAAGAACGTCTTGGCAACAGTGCCGCTTCAACATGAATGATCATCATTATTCACACAAGTTGTTGCTATAATAAAAACAAATAAGAGCCAGAAGAGGAAAAATTATCCTCAATTAAGGATCTAAAGACTGATATATATATATATATATATATATATATATATATATATATATATATAT